CGCAATTGCCGATTTTTTCGGCCTGCGAGGTGCCTGTCATTAACAATGGGTTCTGACAAGTGAGTAACAACAACAAGGTCCACCCTAACCACCCCGAGCGACGTTATCCTTCGCCTCATTTGAGTGACATATGCGTTTTGGCATCCCCCTGCCGTCCGTCCTTTCGTCCTTCCGCTCTTCAGCTTTTTTAATGAGTTCAACGTGTGTTTTTGTTTGGGCCAGGATATACAGCGAGGGTGCAAATGCTAGGGTATTTGCATAATGGCATCGATACAATAGCGCTGCTGCTTACAGTTTCTCATAATAAAAGTTTTAACCTCACAAAATAGTTTGGTTCTAGCTTAAAATGCTTTAAAATCATTGTTTACCATAACATAAAGCAGTATATTTTCTTGTAAAGGCAAGGCATATGTAAGTAAATAAATGCTACCTAAATGTTACTTGCTTCGTAAATATATATATACTATATATTGTTTATAATATGGTGTTTTTAATTACTTTCGGGTTAACATTCATTTCTACTGCCAGCCACTATTGTTGTGCCCGCTGCTGTTGAAGCACCCACCGCAGGTCCTTTGTTGATGTTTTGGGCTCTTGGCTTTCTTCTCCGCTTTATTATTCGTTTTTGATGCCCGGTTTCGGTTTTATTTTTTAATATTTGCGGTTGTCGCTGTTGTTAAGCCATCGAGGCATCAACTTGAGTTCAATTAAAATCCACATCAAACAATGGCCAGGCACGTAGAAACTACTTCAGGAATCGTCCGACAATTGGGGGTGGTTGCACGATATATATAGAGATGCAGGACTCGTGTCCTGGCTTAAGTCCCATTCTGCCCTCTCCTTCGGTGAGAAGAACACGTGTCCACGCAAAACTTGTTGCCCCACAAGTCGTCGGGTTCGCTTTTCGCTTTTCGCTATTCAGTTGTTGGTTTTCGGTATTTGGTTCCTTTATTCCGGGACCCATTTATCCATATGACGCGATTCGCACGCGAATGCCCGAAAACTGTTTGCCCTTAAGTTCAAAATCATGTCCTTTTGAAATGGCCTCGAAAATCGGTCGAAAGCTCCGCCGCCTTGGAAATCCCCGTGCGTGCTGATTAACCCAATAACCCATCCACATGTGGGTGGTGGTTGCTTTTGGGTGGTGCACATGCGGTTATTGCGGCGTGCGCGTGGGTTAAGCCTACGCAATGTTAAGGCGAGGAGGAGCGGGTAAAGTGGACATCAGATCGCGAAAGATTTGATTTTGATAAGTAAAACAAGTGGGGAAAGGAAAATCGTACCTTTGAAGTGGCTGGGGGTAACTCGAAGCAGTAATCTTAAGACACAATATTATAAGCTGCACCCTGATTCAACAGATTATACTATCTAAATTAAGATCACAGTGCCTTACATACTTTAAATAAATCATATATTTTCGGATATATGCAAACTGGATCGAAGTCCAAATGGAACACTTCCTCATAACATTTGTGGAACAAGCCCCAGCGCATCAAGGCCAACAAGATGGTAGCCCTCACAGCTTTCGAGGCCATCAAAGAGCTGCGAGAGTGTGATCTAATTAAATGGGCATTGGTTACGCCCCGTCCGCGAAGCATTCAGTGTGGCCCTTTCCGTCCACCACCGAAACCAGCGAAACCTGATGACAATATTATTGTTAAATTGCAAAGCGCACAAATCAAATTAACAACGCGTCCTGCACCGCAGAAAAATGGTTGGCGATGTCGTTGGCAACCACAGTGGCGCAGGCGTATCCTGCAGGCCATCCCCGAAAAGCCCAAAAAAGCAAAGGGCCACAAAGGATACCCACCCGACCGAATAGATCCCAGATCCCAAAAACAGCCACCCAGTCAAACAGTCAAAAAGAAGCGGTCCCCAACCACCAAGCCACCAAGCCACCCAGCCCACAAGGCCACACCACCCATCCACCAATCCGCCCCCATCCAACCCCCCAACCACCCAACCACCCATCCACCAGCTGTGACCCGACGGCGTTAATGACGCACAAGTGTGACACTTTTCCGCAGTCACAGTGGTGCAAGAACGCTCTAAGTGGTGGATCATGAAAGTGGATCATGAAAAGGACCCAGTACATGAGCCAGCTGCATATGTAAGTATGCGAGATAAGTTATAGTTACTAATTAAGTTGCGAAACTATTTTCATTGTAATTTAGTATGGCACAGTATTTTCGTTTTTTATAATTACAGGAAAGGATTGGTGTTTAAAATAAAAATATGACCGTGTAAACGCAAAGAAAAATGAAGGATAAATTGATTGGGTCGACATGGTTCTGGAAATTGGTGACCACTGCCGGATGGTGCATAGCATAGGCGGTTTTGAATGTTTCTCGCAGTGTATAACAACAAGAAACGAGAACAAGGAACAGCATGAATAAATGAAAGCAGAAAATCAGTTGATTTTAATATGAAATTTCACGCCACCGCTCTGTTTTTTACGCTCGCCGAAAAAAAGAAGCGAAAACGCAGTTTAATTGAAAATTATCGCAACATGGTTGTCACGCAATTATTTCGCGTTATCACCAAACCGAAAAAAGGCGAAGCGAAGGGTGGCAGAATGGGTGGAGAAATAGCTGCTGAGATATCATTTATATCCCGGGCGTTGCGAAACGTTGCGTTTCCAAAACAAGTGCGGAGGGGAAACCCACCACCAGCACCACCGAAACCACCTAACCACTGTAGGCCACCTGTGTCACTCGCAGCACAATGTATCTCTTCTCGGTTGAAGATACATTTGTATCTTTTGCGTTGCCATGGCGTGAAATTTTAATTGCCCAAAAATCAGGAGACTCGCAATCAAAAAGTGCTTTTCTTTGGCAGGGTCGAATAGATCAAAAAGGTCGATTGGCATTGGGTCAATATTTTCACTGCACACGATTTAAAAACAGCGAATATGGTTGGATAACACACACGCGCGTGAACTATTTTAATTACAGTGGCAATATATTAGACCTTATGAATTTGACCGACTATAAAATCTGCTCCAAACTTTGACCAAAAACCCTTCTCTTATAGAATTTGAACAAATTCAAGCGGCTGTTTGTCAAAATCGGAATGGATGTTCTTACTGAAAATTAAGTTTTTAACTTGACCTAATCCTTATTGCTCTATCAAATTGAAAATGAAGAAAACAAGTCAATTGACCAAGTCAGAAACGAGTTGAGGCCTTCAAACAAAGACAGGATCAACCCTAATCCCCGCTGCAGCCAACTAATTGACTTATTGAGGGCCTCATTAACCCAGGCCAACCTGTACTGGTCCCGCTCCATGCTGGTACACCCCCGACTTTTCAAAAAAAAAAAAAGGGAAACGCTAAACGATGAATAGAAGTCAGAACCAGGGGCACATTAATCAATTCCAATCAAACAATGAGCGATTCAGTTGAACTCGAAATGTTTTCCGTAAACAATGAGGACCTGGCCATCAATGAAAGTGAACAGGTTGGGAACTGAGAACTGGCAACTGAGAAATGGGGTATAAAACCGAGAAATGAGAATTAAGAACTGAGAATCGAGAATCGAGAACCGAGAACCGAGACCCGAGAACTTAGAAATCGCTTAGGACAATGCAGAGGAAATGGTCAGGATCATGGGGTGTGTGTTGTTGGCTCAATCAATGCCAGCCAAACAAGTGTTATGAATGATATGATGTTTTCATTTGTCCCCGCGTTTTTTCTTTTTCTTTTTATTTGATTTTTCTTTTCGGGAAACCGAACCCCAACAAACCGCACAAAGGCGAGAGTGAAAAATCCCCGATAATAGTCAGGATTTCACTTTCAGTTATCTCGGCAGACGAACTGGCACCGCCAACAACCGCAGCCGGTATATACGGTCTAAGTATGACATGATTTATGAGGATCCACAGTATTACCCCCCCTCCCCTCAGAGTATGCCCCCCATTGTCCAGACCACGGATTTGTGTAAGAAATGCTGAAAAATGTTTCAATAAACTGTCGCAGGTTGCAGGCTGCTCAATGGGAGGTCGTCCCATTCTCAAGCAGCTCCCCCATTACAAAACCTCCATCTAATAACCGGCTGGGGGATTCTGGAGTCCAGGGACATTAATAACTTAATTGACCAGCAGAGTACACAGTTTACTTTATCGCGAATACCTACTACAAAGATCAATGTTCGTATGGAAATACTAAATACATATAGGAAAATTTTGAGCTGAAAACTGACGAGCACTTAAAGTTATTTGCTATTCAAAAATGTCGAAAAAGTGTACTTTGTTCCCATATTTTCACTGCTTGTGGTTAAAAAAATGTTCTACAAAATAAGAACCTAAACGTGAGATTCTTTGCTGTACAAGTTTCGTAAAGCCAGATAGTACTTCCCCAGCTTATCCCCTCCTAATTCCTTTGCTGTTCCCACAGTCCTTTTTCCAGATTTTTTCCGGGCGTGACTGTGAGGGGGAAACAAACAACAAATAAGAAACAGACGGAGAAAAGTGGCAAATTTTCGAACAAATTTAATTTCCGGCCTGGGGTCAGCTAGATTGGCAAACATCATTTATCATCTTGGGTCAATGGAGCAGGTACAGATGGAACAACCACAGACAGGGGAGCATTTCCTCAATAGTAGATACATCAGTGTATTGACTGTTGTCCACGTTAATTAAACCATCAAACGAGCAATTTATGGCTGCTAGCATTTGAATCTCCTTGAAAACTTGTAGTTGAGAAAGAAACCAAGAGCTGAGCTACGAGATCTTCATGTACAATTTTCCCAGAATTTCGCCGAAAGCCCAAAAAAAGGATAAGGCTGTAAAAAAGGATTTCAGAGGACGCAAAAAAGAGTGAGAGTGCCCGCCGCGTGTGGGAAGCGTGTGTTGTCCGCACAGGTAAATCGTCCTTGACTCCTGGGCATTGCATAAAATTTGCTAAGCGGTGGGCAGGTAGTGCTGTCTGCAGATGACTCAACTGAATGCAACCCGCAGAAACCTCAGATGGTTACCGGGAATGGGAAACACGGCATAGAGCGTTTTGTGTTTAGCCTTTTGTACTTTATTTAGTGATCCCAGCTCGAGGGTTTTGGTTTCATTTGCTGGCAATTTAGTTATTCGTCGGAATCGCTGGGCGTGTAGGTTTTGGACGAGGACCTGGACTTGCGGCCCTTCCTCACCACCTTGGAGGTGGCCTGGGCCCGTGGCTCTGGGTGATAGGGAGCCACCTCTTGCGTGGACTCCTCCTGCGGAATCTCCTCGCCGTGGCCATCGATGAACCCAGAGTGGCCCGTCTTGCGCTGAGGCGTTTGGGTCACTATCCTTTTGCCCTCGCCCGTCCAATAAACTCCTTCGATTTCACCCTCGCGCACGTGTTCGATGGCATCGTGGGCATCTTGCGGCTTCCGTGACTGTCGTGGCTCCCGTGGGTCCGTGGCCTCCGCCGTCTCCTCGCTCTCCAACTCACTGGTTTCCGGCTGCTCGGAATTGCCAGACTTGCCATCATCCTGGTTGGCACTCATCCGCAGTCCCCGCACTTCGCTCAGCTCCTCTTCGGTGAGATCCTCCATGGAGATTTCCCGAGATTGGGGCACATACGGCTGATCCTCCTCGTCCTGCTGCTCCAGCTCCTGAAAGTCTTGCTCCTTTCCCTCCCGCAGTTCCTGCGTTTCTTGCAGCGTCTCTCGCAACTCCTTTAGCTGCATGGCCAATCGCCTGCGGAACTCTTCGTCCTCATCCGCATTAAAGAGCAGGCAGCGATCTCCCGCCAACAGCGGCAAGAATCTGGGCGGCAGAGGACGACCTCCCAGCAGATTCAGTCGGCCATGGAGCAAGCGACCCAGAAGATCCAGGCAGCGGGTCTTAGGAACAGGAGCTGCCTCCAAGAGCTGCTCCGCGTGCAGGCAATTGTGGTGTAGGGACTTCAGTGAGTTGAGCAGGATCAGTGTCCTGGAACAGCTACTCTTGAGAACCGATCGCTGCATTGTTGCGCAATAAATCAGAACGCCTTTTAATCTATATATTTGCTTTTTTTGGTTGAATTTTGAAAAGTTTATAGTTTTTTATCGTTTTACATGCAGAATGTTATGTTGTTTGACCTTATATATATATTTTCTTTTTTATGTAAACAAAAAAAAACGGAAAAAAGGAATGAAAAGTTGGTTTTTAAGATTGAAACTGCTTTTTCAACGGTTAATTTTATATGAACGAATTTTGGAGTCCTTTGGAGTTGTTCGAAAATATAAACTATTGAGCTCAAATATATTTTGAATGTTGTCGTGCGGGGTTCGGCTGACGACTGAGGATGTGGGACTGGCGTTGTAGTCCCCAAAAGTTTGGACAGCTGACTTATGAGGCAGCACCTACTGGAATGCCCCGCCTGCTGCTTTTCCGTAATCCCATAAAACAATTGACTTTCTAACCGTTTTCGCAAATAACAATAAAAACGGCATAAAAAGGGAGGAAAATTGGGTATTTTCGGCGGAAAAAAACGGGCATTAAAGTACGGGGCGCAAAAGGATTTGCTGGGGTTAGAATTCGCGCGAAATTGCATCTTTTATGGTGCAGGGCTAGGGTTACGTGCTTTATTGTAACCCTAGCCCTAAAACGACTACCTGCCACGCCCCCCGCCCATGGCTAATTATGTCATTTGGCGTAAGTCAAGGCTGCAAAGTCAATTGCGGAAAATGGGTAAAAATCTGACACAAACGAGCAGCAAAAGCCATAAAAATGGTTGGTTAAAAAATCCATAAATGGTCAGGGGTAGAGGTTGGCAGTCTGCCACTGAAACTGCCGTCCGAAAATGATAGATCGTGTTGAAAGAATTAGTGAGCCCAAGCAGCAGACTCACAGCTGGAATAATCGCAGTTAAGTGTACATCGAGCATGTTAAAATGTACATATAATTAGAGAGGTAAGAAATATTAAATATTAATATAATGTATTAGTGATAGATACCAGATACCACACTATTGATTGGAAGCGACCCCTTCCAAGAGCCTGGGCTTATCCGGAAGCTAGAGGTAATCTCCACTTTTAAGGCTTATATGAGCCTTCGCAGAAATATGTACTTCCAAGCAGAGCTGCAGCCCCTGGTTGCCCATTTCCCCGCCAACATGTTGTCGTCATTGTCCAGGACAATTTGCCTGCAATATTGCGTTGACAGCCACGAGAAATAATAGCCGAACAATTTATACAATTTATGAGCTTGTGTGCCACATCAGCGGTGGAGGGGTGAAGGAAAGGGGTGCTTTGGGCCTTGGTAGGGGTTACCAAAAAAATGTGTGTAGCATACTTAAGCGGGCGTCGGTGGGTGTTGCTGGATCGAATGGCAGATTGCGCAAAAAGGAGCGAAATCACAGTCGAAAATCATAAATTCGGCATGTCTAATGACAATTTGCAGCTCCACATGAGGGGTAAAATAAAAAGTTGAGGGACCGTTTTTATCGTTTTTGATTTTTTGGTTCTGCGCCCCTTTATGTGAGCGCATAAAAGTCGTTTGTTGTTGGTCCAAGGTTTTTGTGACTCGGAAACACGGATTGGAATTTGGAAATGACGCATTTCCCTTGCCAAACCCATTTCTCTAATTTCGGTGGGGGTTAATGTATTTTAAATATATTCTAAATATATAATTTACATTAAATAATGACTTTCCTTGATATTGAGTTATCCAGACTGTTCCTTGTACTGTAAAGATATGTAGGCTTTTGAAATGTCGACACAATTTAAAAGGAGCTTGTCGTTATAAAATTATGGCTTAAAAATACCCTGAAATGAGTATTGGCAGCTGGCGGAGGTCCTTTTGGGACATTTATGAGGCCAACGGCTGGTCCATGCCAGACGCATCCGCAGTATAAATCAAACCCGACGGAGGATCCCTCAAACATCCCATTGAGATCTTATTGTGGACTGGAACTGAGCTGAACTGAACTGACACTAAAACTGAATCGAAACTGCGACAGAAGCTGGACTGGAGATGAGCCATCCATGTGGCCATAACTCATCCAGCGGAGTTGCTGGCCACCGAAAATGAAGCAATCAGGGCCGAGAAAATGGTAACAGCCCTGGGTAATTGTTGTTTGGCATTTGCTATTTGGCATTGGCCGATGATGTCACCGCACACGGAGAGCGAGCGGAGAAGCCGGCATCGGCATTGTCGTTTCCACTTCCTGGCCAGCCCATTGTCTCCTTCGAGATTTTACGATTGTTTACTGCTGCTTCTGTGCCCTGACTTTTGGCTTCCATCAAATGGCCAACAAAGCCCCCAGTCCGAGACCCAAACAGAAACAGAAGCCCATGCCCATGCCCATGCCCATACCCATACCCATACCCATACCAATACCCATTCCTATAGCTAGACCAAAAACCGAACCGAACCCATTGTGGCCAAGGCACTTTGGGCCATTCAGCAGCTCGTGGGTGTTCCGATTTCCAGCCCCTTCTTGGCTCATTTAAGTCCCGATAAATACGCATTTGATTTGGGTCCTGATGGGGGGACAACAGATAATAGAATTCGAATCGAATCGGTCCAGCTTATTAAATCAACCCTTTTCTGCCCGAGTCCCTTGTTTACCCAAACTATTAGCTGCAAGCTGGCGGGGATTTGCGGCCACTGGCCATTGAAACTTTGACCCGTGAGGAGGGGAGTGTGGAAAAGGGCAGCAAAAATAAAACAAAAATTACGCAAACGTACGAAGGGACATATACTCTCTATGTGTATACTTGTGTTACGTTGTGTATTTTACAGCGTTTAGTTAAAATAAGTCATCGCTCACGCCTGAAACTAAATAAAAGCATTTATAGATAGATAGATAGACATCCGGTTGCATTTTTAATTTAAAACAAATCGGAAAAGGGTTCTATATAATATCGAAGGGATATATTCTGATTATTAACTGATCATAAATTTACTTACGGAAAAAGTGGAACTAGAATTAGCCATTCAAGATTTCTTAGTGTGGCAATTCAGATTTGCTTTTAATAAACACTGTACCGCTGTTTGAATCTTGATAATTTTGAGGCTCCTTTGTAATCAGCTAAGAAATTGCACCATGTTTGACTTGAAGTAGTGCAACTCCTGTCAAACATTTCAGCATACCTTGTGGACAGAGTATCACTTGAAAGAGTGACATAAAAATAAGCATAAAACTAAATGTGCCACATTGAGGAACGGACAAGGAGTTGGACCCAAGGGGTTAAGGCCGCCGGGTCAGTTTGAGGCGTTTAAGTTGATTTCGTTTTGAATGTTTATTTTATTGCGTGGAAAATGACGCCAACGTGGCCAAGAAATGGTGGCTGCTCTCCGGCTGCTGTTTACCCCATTTTGACCATTTTGAACGATTCACCATTTTGGCCATGGCTAGGTGGACTTGGCTCCAGTCGCTTTTATGGCCTGCGATTGTATCGAGAATTTCGTACGCAATAAAATTCAAATATACTTGCGATAAAAATCAAATCTTGTTGGACATTCGAGGCCCCATTCCACCGATTTGGCGACCCAATTGGGGGTATCCCATTGCGGCTGTTATGCGTTTCAATTTTCCCTTACTGCCGGCGATTCGGTTTTATTGGGTCTCCATCTGGGCGCAATCAGATTGAATTAACAGCGTATTAGATAATGGCAGCGGAGTCTCACGGCTCGGGAAGTCCCTTAATAATCTCTACAGCCTGATCTTCAGAAATATTATTAATATTTATATCGGCCAACCGAATGAATTGAACGTACAAAACCTATATGGCGAAATCGGGTTTCAAATCCTGTTGAACGTTGACTAAACTACGAGTTTAGTAAATCTCTTATAGGCAAAGCGTTGCATTAGCCCATTCATTTCCACAGACTTAAAAATGTCTTTAAATGCTATGCCTTGAGTGCATGTTAAATACTTGATAAAGATGTATTTTCGTGTAATTTGAAAAAGTTGAGGAATCAATTATACCGGCTTGGTGACAACTTGAAAAGGGCCGATACTGTCCGAAAATTCCAGGAAAGTGACCAACTGCGGTTACTGATAGACAGACAGTTCAGTTTCAGTTTCATTTTCAGGTTGAGTTTTGTCTTCGATCGCTGTCGTTTTCGGTTTCTTGGCATCGACTTCGATTTCGGCTGGACTCGTTCTCCGCCTTGGAGGATGCAGATACTAATGAAGTGCTCGCTGGTCCTCCAGTGGTATCCGTATCTGTAGCTGGGCCCCCGGGGCGTTGTCGGATGCATTTGGCAAATAAAACACCTACCGACAAGCCCGATACGCCAGATATATGGCAGATAGGAGGAGGCCCAGCATGCCGTCCACACAAAAGGACAACCGACTCGACTGCAACTGCTGCCAAGGATTAAAAGGATGAGCAAGTTGAGCAGGATGGGCAGAATGGGCCCAAACAGTAGGAGCCCATGGAGAGGACCGTCTCGAGTGAGAGAACTGCAGCTCCGCATCGAGAACTGCAGGGCAATTAGAACATTATCAGGCGGCAATAATCGGCTCGTTTGCACCCAAGTGTCGTCCTGTCGTAATAATAAAAGGACCTCTCTCCATCTCGTGGGGCAGTGGTAAAAACAACAGGACATCTACAACTTGGTCTCCGTCTGTTTCTATTTCTGTCTCTGGTGCATTTCTGTTTTCCATTTTCCATTTACCATTTTCCATTTTCAAAAACACAGATAGGCAGGCGACAATGTCGGCGGCGACAGTCGGGCATCAAAGTCGATTATCACAATTTTCGGGATTTGCCTTAAATCACGCACCAGCAGTCGGAACAACTCAATTAAAATTCCTGGAATGTAGCGCAACTGCTCTTGTGTCCTTTTTCCAGGCGGTTTTGTGGTTTCTGATGTGCCCAGCTCCTGCTAATCCGTTAAATTAATGATAATGCGCGCAGCAAAATCATACGCGCGTAAATATCATAGGCTCGGCCGTTGACCATTGTAGTGTCTGCTGCTGGCCAAAAGATCCCGAGAACCCCCTTATCTTGGCCCTAAATTCCTTTCACACATGTGGGAATCTGGACCATTACCCTGGGGGCATTTTTGGGGGCTTAACTGAGCTGTTTGAGAAGCGCGGAGAAGGGCTGTCTGCAACAGAACGTTGTGCTCACAAATTATAATAATGTTAAAGGGCACTTCACCAGAATATGCGTTAAATGTCGTACACAAAGGAGGTTTAATATATTTACCTTTGCTGTGCCCTTAAATTAGCTGCATTTTTTGAGAAGCGCTGGAAAGCACATTTTAAATATTTAAAGTATATTTCAAATGAGTGGTGATGAAGCGATGGAAAGTGTCAAAGTGTTGCTGATTTGGATCGTTTGTGGCTAATGAGCATGCGCAGAGATAATTCTTCTCCCTTGAATATTGACCATTATTTGACCCACTGATTTGAAGCAACCCCAGCGGCCATATTTGACCAAAACTGGGGATGGATAGGATTGTTGGCTGGGCTTGGGGATGCAGGGATGCTGGGGTGCTAAGGGTTAATTTTCCATACTCCTTGGCCTTGATTTATTAATAGAACACAACCTTACAAGGAGTTAACTCAAAAGATTTAAAAAAGAGTTATATTCTATGAGTTATTGTTCTCATAGACACTAAGGAGCGCATTTGTATTTATCAGGGAAAGTTCACGATGAGCATATTTCGAATAGTAAAAAACCGTGTTTTAAATTCTTCTTTATATAAACTTTTTGGCCCGGCTCTTCGTCCCTTCAGTTGGACTTGAACAGACTCTCGTCCTGGCCAGGATAGTACGACATCCTGCTGACCGTGTTGTTTGTGTCCACGTCCAAATCCCTACCCCAAGCCAAAGTCCAGCTGGTGACGAAGGCAATTTGCATTTGAAGGGGTCGTGTTAGCCACTGGGCGACAGGCATTAAATAATTAACTCGCATTCAACATTTATAGGGCGACGGGGATCGCGAGGGAGGGGATTTGCTGGGCTCAGACAATGTCAAGTAATCCCCAAAAGAAAACATTTAACATACGTAAGTGCCAATTGAATTAAAAACCAATAATATCAACCAAAAGTAACGAGCAGAAGAAGAAGGGCAGGGGATTGTAAACGGAACATGTGTAGAGCTATTTATTTAGCAAACATTGAGAAAATAACAAGAACGAAACCAGAGGCACGCAGAAAAAACACACTGAGAGAAATAAATGATACGAGTGAGCGCATCACACCCTTGAGAGTAATCATATTACGCAAAAGACTTTAGAACTAACTGGTTTGAATTACATCGAATAAATTGTGTTTCATTTTCAGCAACAATTTGTAAGCTAATAAACCAAGACCTGTGCTTTATAAACGGAGACATAAAAAGTCAGAGTGTAAATATTTTTGCACTGTTAAACGAAAAAAGCGTGGAAGCCCCATGAGTTTGGGGAAACGGGTCTGGCGACAATCGAAATGCGAATGGAAAATCAAAGGTGAAAAGATGTGAAAAGCAAACGAAACGTGCACAGGGGCATTTAACCGCCCGTCCATTTCCCTTTTCCCATTTCCCTTCTCCCGCTCTTCCCGCTTTTCCACCAACCACCTTCCACTTGCCACTTGCCACCACCTCCACCTGCAGCTCATGGGTAAGCCGCTGCTGAGGCACACATGACGTATTGGCAGGCGGGCCCTTGCCCCCATTTTGCCGCTTTTCCGCTTTTCCGCCTTTCCTGCTCGCATTCGCAACTCCGGGGCACTTGAAAGCCCGGGCCTATCTTGATTGTTTGCATGTAAATCTGCACAAAATCCCTAAAGTACCCAAGTACCCGAAGTACCCAAAGGAAGACAGAGAGTCCTCCCGATTCCAGCGCCCCACCAGCCCCGCCGCCCCAGGACTATGATGTCCTTGGCGCATCGCATCGCATCGCATCGGATCGCAATCCCTGGCACAATTGAAGCGAGTGGCGTCCTGTGAGGAGGTGGGTGAGCCGGGTTACCTGGGCGCTTATTCCAGGTGTGTTCGTCCTTTGTGACTGATTCAAGGCGCTGCAGGTGTCTTCTGCATTGTTCACCCAGCAGAATGAATATTTCCTGGCTCCCCAACAGAGTAGCATGAAAAGCGAATTTTTTTAATACGAAAAACTCCGTTTGAAAAAAGTCGTGAAGCGCTGTTGAATATTTCCAAAATTATTTAGTTGTAAATTTTACACAGAATTAGGTTGCAAACAAATAAATCTATAACTTCAATGAACGCATACGTTCCCGATTACTCATACTATATACACATGCAATGAAACGCAGTAAAATTGCAAATGCTTTAACTGCGACATCTAAAAAATGGAAATTCAATTAAATTAAATTATTAAAAATGTGAAATTTCTAGCGATAGTTATAATTTGCTACTACATGACGTAGCACCTTTGGTTGTCCTTTCAACCGATTTCTCAAGGACTCTCCCCACGCCCTTCGTTCTCCCACATTGCGTGGCCAATTTTCCGATTTTCTACGATTTTCAACTGCTCGTTTTGCACTTACTCTTCAGGCAGAGCTTCCTGTGCTGCCCATTTTCCATTTCCGTGCATTTTTTCCCCTACGTACAACTACCTTTATGGCAGCCACGCCCACTGCATTTATTGGAATTTTACAATAAACTAACGTGGAGCTGCAGAGTGCAGAAAAAAGGATGTGTACTCGTAGGCCAAAGCCAAACCATGGCATTTGTACAAGTTTTTGGTTTGGCCGGGTTCCCCTTTTCCTTTTCTTTTTTCGCAGCAGCCCCTAAGGTCTTTTTTCCTTTTTTCCTTTTTTGTGCTTTTTGCGTTTTTTGCGTTTTTTGTGTTTTTGCTTTGCGAAGGATGTAATTAAAAAAGGGCCAGAGCAACAGCATGGTGGCGCAGACAAAAAAGAGCTTGCGAGCTTGTAAACTTTGCAACACACGACACTCGAAGTTGCGACAACAGTGGCCCCCCCCTCGGCCCCCTTCGGCCCACCCATGGCATCCCTTTTTTAGCCCGGGAGGGCGCTCCCCCTGGGCGCCAAATCGATGAGCTGCTCTAACGATATCCATAGCTCAAAGCCAAATCTCGGCACAAACAGGATATACATATGGCTCGGCAGTCAAAGTCAATCCTTCGCACAGGACCACCGTTTCCGACTCCCTACACTGATTTCCCGGCCATGTTGTCGATGGGGCCGCATCCGTTGCGACTTGGGTTTTGTAGTCAAGTCAGCTCCTGTTTTCCCTTTTGGCCACCTCTCTCGATTTTGCACGATTTTTTTATCGTGCCTTTGTTTCTTCTGCTTTTTCTCGAGAGATAGAGAGAGAGTCGCTTTTTTCTGCGGCTATTTCCCTGTGATATTGAGCCGGCTGGCACTCAAAGGAAAGCCAGTGCTGGTGCTTTCCCCCCACCACCCATTTCCACCATGTACGAGTATATCTTGCCGCCTTGACGTATTCGGTTTAGTGTGATTTGTATGGATGAAAGGCGCCCGTGGAAAGTGTGTGTGTGTGTGTGGGTGTGGGTGTGGGTGTGGCTGTTTGTGTGTGGGGGCGGATAGCTCGAGCTACGCTTGCATTGCGATTTCATGCTCAAAAGCGACTGGCCATCAAACGGAGCTGAAAGTGAAACGCTTAGTCCCGTTTTGCCCATTTTGCCCATTTCCCCTATTTTCTCTATTTTCCATCGATCCCCAACCCGGACTCAGATTCCGTTTTGAATGGCCGGTAACAGGAGGTGGATGCGGCTCAGCCTGGCACAAGGACTTCTGAAGTCTTCTGAAGCCCATAAGAAGGCAACGGTATTGAATTGCTGCAACTGCATTCTTGCGTTACCAATTACTTCAGCACATATATGAATGCCCCATTACGTAATTATATGTAGATACATTTTTGTCTTCTGTGTGGTGGAGTCGTCGAGTATCTGAGTTTCAAAGAGGTCTGCGAAACATGCTGCCTGTGTCATTTCAACCACTTCAACCAACATTCAACCAACATAAATATATGAATCTGAAAGTACATATATATCCCTTAATAAATATGTTGCAACAAATTAGTCGCACCAAAAAGTAGTTGCAAAAAGTAGTTAAAAGTCTACGAACTCAAGTAAGGAGCACGTGCAAGCTCAAGAACTTGAATACATGTACATTCAGCTCCCTCTTACCTTAGCAACTTTTCCTCTGACCCTTGGCATTTTCCGACTTGCCTCCAGATTTCCCAACTACCCCGCCCGGGAAACCTGGCTTTATCCCTTCGCATTTCCCACATCCACCTGTATCTCAGAGTCTGGTGTGCAGGTCCCAGGAAAATGCAACATTCGTGGCTGATGTTGCACTCGCATCCGTTACATGGCGGCTTATGTGTTGCTGGTTGCTGGTTGTCGGTTGTCGGTTTCTGGTTGTTGGTTGTTTGGGCCTCGCTTTGATTTTCCTTTTGGCCCAGACATACAATTCACCAATTTGCAAAAATACACATGAAGGGCATTCTGGTTTGCGATTATAGATGGACCTAATGGATTGAGAGTTATTTTAAGACGTGTGGATAATGTGAATCCAAGTAACTACTTGCAGTCAGATTCAAATATTTGACTGGCGTGGTTCTAGGAGGCCTGCTACTGCCACATAATTTAGCAACTTTTCCATTTATATTCGTAGTAACGAAAGTTATTTTGGCTAACCCATTTATTAGCGACTTAATTTGAGATTTAACAGGAAGGAGAAGCGTTTTTTTGAACATTTGACGAAGGAGTATCCTCCTTTCTTTTGTTTCAACCCGAAAAGAATGCAACTTCAGAATCATTTTCGATCGTTGGGCGCTGCGAGGTCTGGAGACTGGGATCCTACTTGTCAAAACGCCCCGAATGGAGGGCGTGGCGGGACACGAACGGCTTGGCCTTCGGTTTGCGCAACTCCACCTCGTTGGCCAGTTCCTTGTATTTGTCATTAATGTACTGCAGTCGCGAGCTGTTTACAGTGTGGCGTCGACTTAGTGGATTGTGCAGCGGAGTGCGGGGACGTGGCTCCGCCGCGGGCGGCTCCTCCCTATCCTGTTCAACTTGCTCGGCATTGGAAGGGGACTCCCCATTTTGGACCAGAAACTGCGTCCTAATGCGCTGCGAATCTGTGGAAATATATAAGGGTGTATTATACTTAGGATCAGCAGGACTAGCCGAGTGGATCGAGCCATGTCCTACTGTTATCTGCTTAAAGCTTTTCTTAAGGCCTTCTTTGTATTGCAGAACGGAGCCATTTATATCTTACGAACATGTTTCTCGTTCTGGCCAACTCATCCAACTCATCATTCACCGGTTTTTGCGAGGCTCAGCTTAAACGGGCTTAAACTATTCCTGCCATAACTTTAACTTACCATGGCACATAGATCGCAATAGCTTCTGAGTCTGCAGAACAGATCGCATCCTGAACGTGCTGAGCATCCTGTGAATTCGAAATCCCTTCGAGACGAGGTGCCTTTAAGTTTTTGTGTAGAATGTACGGTTGGCTGGATGGACACGGTTTCAGTTGATTTTCTATTCCCTTGCCGGTAAGTTGCAAGCGTTCCGCCGAATGCCGTATTACTTTTTTCGATTTTTCCGGGGGGAATGTGTAAAAAATGAGTTTGCCAGAAAGTAAAAAGTACATGGGAAATGGAATGAAATGAAATGCCTGGCTGTGAGTGGAAAATCAGAGCCTCCTGCCCCCAAAAATGCCCTGATGGCATCCATTTCCATTCGTCCACTTCTGCACCCCACTCTGTTTTTCCCCACCATTTCCCCCATTTTCCCATTTTCCGCCGCCCAGCAGCGCTCCCTTTGCATGCATATTTATAGTTCCGCTTGTTGACAAATATCGCGCTCTGTTGACTGACGGAAAATTCATCGGCGGAGCGGGAAAGTCGGAAAAAGGCGGAAGCTGCACTGATTAGAAACATAGTGTGGTGTCCACGCTGAAAAACTGCTGGTGATGGCAGAAAAAAAGTGCGCCACTGCCCGTCTGTCCAAAAAATGCACGGAAAAAACTTCGGTACCGACATGCCCACACTCTTTGATTACTTCGCATTTTGTTGGGGCACCAAGAGTTTGCAGTGAGGAAGTGCAGGAATTTAGAAACTAGTATGGATGAATTAGCTGCACTTTGAGTTCTGGTGGCTTTCAAAGCACAAAAATCTATACATCTATACTATACTAGCCCTTTGGAGTACATATTTTAGAGTTGCGATTAAATACACCCGCTTGCTTGTCGCAGATACTTATTGGCTAAGTGGTCGAGCTGTACTTATTTAAGTCTCAATAAATACAAGTACATAGAGTTTAGAGACTAGTGCCTTTGTTTCGCTTGATTACTTGTTATGTAAAGGCCTGAATAAATATAGGGCATGAATAGTGCGGCGGACCTCGAGCGGGAATTCTTTCAAATACTCGTACACTTGTCCTGGGATTGCACATTCTGCAGAGTCCTTTTTCCACATACCCCACCTAAGCAAATCCCCTGCTATGAATACAAAATGGCTGCATCGATTGGTGAGCTCGAGCCGCATATTTCGGCGATTGAAATATTAATGGGTGGCAATGGATGTAGAGAGGATGAGGGACCCGAATCCGAATCCGAATCCGGATCGGGATCGGTGGCAGCGCCGGCGCTACACTTGTCTTTGTTCAGCAATTTGTGGCAACAATTGGCACAAAGGGCGGCGCACAATAAAAGCCACCTAAGACTACAGGTTGCACTCTCATGTGTGGACTCGGATTTCGGATTGCAGTGTGCAGATTTGAGCGCTCCGATTTGGTGTGTTTGTTGCAGTTTGCATTTCCCATTTTCTGGCTATTAGCATTCGGCTAAGCCGCACTTAGGGCTAATATATGCATGCCCCGCAAAAGGATTCCGCAGACTGGCTGTCTGGGATAATCCTCCATCGGGCGATCGAGCAGGTCCTTTGTTCGCCGTGTGGTGTTCCGTGTGTGCCAGTGTGCCATTGTGCAACCGACACTTGCCCAAGCATCCGGCGAATGCGAGCACCTATGCATATCCAACTGCACAAAAGCACACCCGGCCACAAAGGACCTCGCAGGATGCTGCGTACTGAATGCTGAATCCTGAATGCCGAGCGGGATCGATCGATAGCCCTTTGTCCTTCCCCGGCTCCTCTCCGCGATCCACTCAAGATAAATTAGCCCACAAAGTGTGTGTAAGCTTAGCCCGGCTTAGTTTCCATTGGCCATGAATGTGGGTTAGGGTTAGGTAGGCGGGAGATCGATCTCAGACGGCGTGTCTTCCGCCTGATTGCGGCCCTCATGTGAACATGGCCTCAAACATGTTGCTTCTATAGGTATATGCAAAGAAGATCGCACCAAGTGTTGCTTAGCTGGTGCCCTTCCGCCTGTGGAAGCCCTTGAGAATCTGCTTCTGATCAATAATTTTGCGAGTCTGCCTGCCTTTCCTCGCAATACTGTACACGGGGGCAGAACAAAATCACCGGGCAGCTGTAATTGTGTACATAAAAAATTACAATACAGAAAAGTTTATTACGAGAAATCCATGAAAATCAATGGAATGCGAGTAATAAACACAGGCCGAGGGCCAACGCAGAGCGAAGGGGCGTGCAATTATTAAAATAATGTCCACAGGCCATTGAGTTCATAACGCGAATGAGGCCGCAATAAAATAAATAAATGAAGAGGAACTTGTCCTCAAATGAGGCATGCAAATGTCGCCAGGCGAAATAACAAAGGACAAGAGCTGGTCGGGCGAGGGGAGTTCCCGCAGCAACAGAGCCATCAGCTCTATCATGGCCACGTCCTGCTCCTGCTCCTGCTGCTCCTTCTCCTGGTCCTCGTCTCGGTCGTGGCCCATCCCGCCCTGAAATTTATTAAAAACAAAGAAGGACGAAAATAAATCCGGAGCGGGAGAGCCGCGGCGAAAATAACAATATCCAGAGGGGCGGCGGCTTTCGATGGTGGATTGCCCGATTCTTGGCCATTGGCCACAGCTGTTGGCCTGATAGATTAAAGGGCGGCCAGATATTAAATCTGTTCTCTCCCCGCTGCCACATTCCTCAGCCGCGGCGAGGTTATTAAAGAAATCGTCTATCCGAAAAGGGGAGGAAGTCCTGCAGATATGTGGCGCAGCTTCTTACTCCCAGCCAGTCTATTCTACTTGTGTCTACCAGTGTTATTCTACTTCACATTTTAAGGCCAAATCCATTTAGTTACCTAATGCTAGTCAATCTGAGGCGAGTTGGTGTACAGATTCAAAGGAATATATAAACGTGGCTTAAATACTTTTAGAGATTGATTTATATATGTACACTTTACATATATTTATAGTTATATACAGTGCTACCTTGTTTTATATGAAACAAAAAATATGTTGAAACAAAATATATGCATTTACCGACGAGCAGAAGAAACTTTTGATTTTTGAGCGAAGTTTTTGCAATAGGATGGACAAAAGTTGCTTTTTTCCCGCCTGAATCCCCTCGCATGTGCGATTTCCCACACGAAGACCATTAAACTCATTTGACACTTTTGCCAATAAATGTTTTTTGGCAGGATTAGCGCTAAGGAAGTGTGACTGTGACCAGGGCAGTTCCATTTCACGTTTCAGTTTCGGGATGACAATTCACAGACTGGCCTCCGGGCAAGTACTTAACCCGCTGCTGGTCGAGGGGGTGGAAAAATGGCAAAAAAAAAAAACAGGGGGAAAAGACAGAGGACAAAAAGTTGAGAAGTTCAAGTGTATAATTTCGTAACAATTGGGACAGTTTTAGTGCTTCGCCGGAACAAAGAGGAGCGAGGTTTTTGGTGTTTTGCTGTTTTGCTGTTTTGGTGTTTTGGTGTCGGTGGTTGCTCCTGTGTTTCCATTTTCCACTTTCCACTTTCCATTCCCCGAAACTTAAATGCGGTTTCGTGTTACACATGTGCGTCTAATTAGCCACTGCTTAACGATAACAAGGACGAGGCGACGAGGCGACGAGGCGACGGGTCGAAGGTCCTGTAACTAATATGCCAGAAAATTAGGGGGAAGGCGACCCGTTAACGAGCATGAAATTATTATCGAACTGCGATTAATGGCTCCTCGCAGGATGTGTTGGGCCAACACACTTGTCCTCGGATGTGTGAGGTCAGGTCGCATCTCCTCAACTGCTCAACTTCTCAGCTCCTCAAGTGCATCATGCCATCATGCCCTGCGTTATCCTGCAACACTTTTCACACGAATTCCGGCGCCACGGCCTCAAGTGCACTTCCGTCTGGAACTCTCCGGAGATTCGGAAAACTCGGACCTGCGACATCTGCCTGAATGTTCCTACTTAGCATACGAGTAGGTGGAGTGTGAAAGGCCCCACGACTCAGATTCCAGTTGCTAGATTCCAGTCTCCAGGATCTGCGATGCGGGGCTTAGGCAACCGGATTGACTTGGCCGGGAACTTGGCTAAGCGGATTTGAAGCTTTGGGCGTTAATAATTGGGACCCCGACCGCTCCGATAAGTAAAAGCTGTTGCTGTCCGCTTGATCCTTTTCCAGAGTACCAGAGTACCCTGTAAAGGCGAAAGGTGGGTGGGCGTACAACTATTTGGCATTGATTTGTTATTCGTCCTACATTTACATGTATGTATACAGTCTTTTGTTGCGAAGCATTGGAAATTACCTTTAAATTTGAACTCAGCTGAACTCATTGAGTGAAGATATCACACATGACTTGGCTGCAGATGTCAAACTCCACTTTTTCCAGGGTATCACACATCCTGCTTGCCCAGGCCTTAACGCAAGGATCTCCCCTAAATTTTTTCGTGTTTTGCCTTTCTTTTGTGCAAATCGAGTTACCCCCTTTTTGGCCAGAGGCGTCGACGGGGGACAGTGTAGGTTTCTGGCTCGGCTCGGGTTCTACATTGATGCCCACTTTGTTTTAATGCGCGCTGATATGTGAGCCGCAGGGCTTAGGCCAGACACATTGGCCCAAAGGAAAGGGCAAAAGGTCGGGGAAGATGAGGGAGCGGGAGGATTGGGGAGTGGGGCGGAAACGGGGGAAGGACGGTCCATGCACACATGACCAGCCCCACCCACTTTTAAAGGCCGGCTTGGCGTTGATTTTTCAACCGAATCGAGAAAATTTGTTGGCTGAGCTCCGTTGAGGCGAAGACCATAATCAACTTCAGTGGCCAAGACTCAATATATTTTTCGGCTATAACTTACAGCAGCTGTGAGTCTGCACGGTGAGAAAATAGGGGAGCTTAAGTTGAAGCGTCAACGGTCTAAATTTTCACTGATATTAAATTAGTGAGTCATCGTCTTAAATACTTACGAATGTCTAAATTTCTTAAATTAAAGGACATCACTCGATGGTGATTTTTAGAATACCGAGAAACGGAGCTTTGGCTTATAAACTTACAGAGATGCGATATTTCAGCAGTGTGTGCGTTTGCATTCGTGATAAAGTGAAATGGAAAAAGGATTTCCGCCTGCAGTCCCTTGGCCAATGGCCACGCCCCCGCTTCGCCGCCCCTCTTCCGCTTGGCTCAAAGGTGTAAATTTTATTTGAATTATTCGCAAAAGGCCAGCAGCGACGTGTTTGTGAATGTATTTCCAGCTGAATTTTGGCTAGTTTGTTACGTGTTCGGAATGCGACGGGTTTCAGTTCTGGTCTCGAATTCCTCGGCAATTTC